GCCCAATCTTTTCAGATGCTACAGAGCTGGGTTGAAGTAATGCACTGCTTCTTCTGGTAAAACGTGGTTTATTTTTTTATTTATTTATTTTTAATGACTGCAAGCAGCCTAAAATATCAATATGTGCATACTTAGCCAGATAAACTGACTTCCCCTATCTCTGCCAACAAGAGGGAATTTTTTATTTTTGGTTTCTTACATAAAAGCCGATTTAGGGCACCGTTTGTCACTGTTAGTCCTCTGAACTTCTTCAAATTCTGAATGAATTCTGGGTGGTTAATTTTGATGCTTAAGTCCAATAAAAATTCCATTCCTACAGTCTGTTTTCTTCAAGTATTTGGGAAAAATATACTATTTTCTTCATTTCAGTTCTCAGGCATTCTAGTTTATTGTAGTAGATTCTTTTTACATTGCAAATATTTTATTTTGGCAGTTGTAAAGGGGTGCTTTGGTTGTTGCCTTCCAGTTATGTGTCCTATGATTTTTTTTTGTAGGATCCTTGTATTAGAACTCATATGTCACGCCAGGCCACACAGGGAACACCAGTTCGTAACACTGGTAGTCCAAAGGCATCAGTGAAAACGCGCCAAGCTTTCTTCCTTCACACAACGTGTTTGACAAAACTTGCCCGCCAGGTCTGCAAAAATACCCTCCGGCTGCGGCAGGCAGCAAGACGTCCATTTGTCCCTATTAACTGTGCTGCCATTAAGGCAGAATGTAAGATGTTTTTAAATTCCTAGCTTTGTGTGCAGTGATTCCAACCATTTTCTGTCTTTCATTTTATTTTCTTTTTCAATAAACATTTCTTGTCTATACCCTTTTGTTTTATTTATTTTCCAAGGTCTAAGTTTACATTTGTCCAACATATCACCAGTGGATTCAGACAAATACTATCTTTTTTAAAAGATTGAAAGTTATTTTAAGAATAAAATGGGTGTGAAAAGGGGATAATGCAAATAAATTTAAGGGATCATCTCATCTTCCTCTCATATATTGTTGTTTTAGCTTTCATAATTTTCCTGGAATCTTATGGGAAACTGGAGTAAATATTTTGTAACGTACAAGTCTGACTGGGTAGTATGTGAAATGAGTTGGCTTTTATAAGGGTTTTTTTGTTTTGTTTTGTTTTTTAGAATTAAAGGTGTAGGGCCAAATTCTGTTACTCTTCCCTGCATACAAAGAATAAGGCAGACTTTTCTGGATGAATAGGAATGAGAGCTTCTGGCCCTTAATATTATTAATTATTATTCATTGTAAATTCTGTGATGGTCACAGTTATGGTTTCATCAAATTTTACTTGTTTCATCCAGTCTTGAATCATGCAGTATTATTTTGGGGCTCTTGCTGTATTGTTTTAAAACAGTGAATTTGTAGGTAAGATAAGACAAAAGGTTAAGAAAGGTTACAAATAGTAAAATAATGATTTCTGTATGCTTCTGAAAGCTTGGAACTGAATCCAAAGTCCGTTGAAGTAAAATTCAGTGAGTTTCAGAGAATGTATGTAAGCTTATTTAATACATGTGCCATATGACCAAGACTATACTTTTTTCATTAGATGGCATCTCCAGGAGTCAGTTTGATGCACCATTGTGAAACTATACCACATCATCTCTAGAAACAACAGATCAGGTAGTGAAAGGGTTAGCAGGATTAGGCGAGCTGCGTTGGCTCATTGCCACAATAACCAAAATTACGATTTTTGAGCATTAGAATTGATTTTTTACAATCAATAAAGACAAAAATAGGGAAAATTTCTCAGGTTTTTAACAGGCATCATAGGGGTTTTATTGATTATCTTTCCACAGTTAAGCATAAGAAACATACCGATTGTGGGCTTTGAGACCATTACTGGCCTTTTTTTCACGTCTTCCCCATTGTTTCCATCTCAGGTCATGCAAACAATGGTCTTTATCATGTGAACACCCACACCTTGATAGGACCACTCATATGAGTAAAGTTACTCACTTTTAAATCTGTGCATGATTGGATCCTAAGAAATGAGTTCTATATACCTTACTTAGGAAAACAGTCCCACTGAGCCTGATTCTCCATTCTCTTAAGCTAACCTAAATCAAAAGCAACTTTGTTGAAGTCAAGGAGTTATAAGGGCTGTGAGAGAGGAGACAATGGACTTCTGGTTAGAAGTCCATTGTGCAAGTAAAATGAGAAAGATGTGTACTTCTGCTTTGGTGGGAGATGTGTCCAAGGCAAAATTATTCTTTACATTTTTATCCTGAATACAGATTATACAAAAACATTTGAAAGATTCAAAGTCTAGTAGAATAACAATTTTTCTCCAGAAGATAAAATTTTGTACCCTTTAGAAGTGGTATAAACTGGCACTGGTTTCTTAAGACAGCATGGGGAAAATTGCCTTCAGAATTAGATTCATTTTTGACAGGCAGACTGGAATCATTTTTCTTTTCTGTTTTTTCCTCTGGGTTTGTAGATTTAATGGGCGTTACATCCTATCTTCTTGTTCAGAGCAATAAAACAAAATGGTTCATTTGACTATTAATCATTATCCCAAAAGGGACGTTATTTAATGCACAATTCAAACTTTTAAAACAATGGAAATGAAAAGCAGAACTTTTCAAAAGGAAATAGGCATTTTTCCATCAGCCTGACAGTGTCTTGAGTGTTTCATCCTTGTTTCTTTGATTGAATAATTGTTAGTACACATTAGTCAGGAGTTAGAAGATCACTTTGTTTTGTAAACCCTGACCTTGGATTTTGTTTCTGCTTCAAGGAAAAATTGCATCTATGTTCTGTCTTTTATATTTTGATACTCCTGATTATCTGATTGGCCCTAAAATAGATTTTAAAAGCACATAGTAAAAGGGTAGCTTTTGGAAAAAGTAAACAAAAAACCTCCAAGCCATGTAAGACAAGGGAATTCAAACAGTATGTTTATAACTGGTTTTATATTATTCCCCCCCTTCCCCTCCCCCCCCCCCCCCCACTCCTGGAGTACATGTAAAAAATGAACCGGTCTTGCACTTTACTCAATCTTATCACCTGACACAAAGCCCACATAACTTTAAGCTGCTATAAAATCGGAATTTCTTGCAGCTGTTTGTTTTTCTTTCTAACTACTTGTGCATGACCTTAACAGTGCACTTAATTAAGGCTGAGTTTGTGTTTTAACAATTCCTCTTCCAATCTTTTGTATCTTTTTTTAAAACAACCTTGAGGGTCATACACTTTTATGTGAAGTACAGCCACTTTGATGAACCTTAATGAGGGAACATGCTGAATAGGAGGGAGCTAGCAATAATAAAAAACAAATGACTGCATTGTGTGATACTGCAATGCTTGTAATCATCTGAGGTGCTTGAACTAACAGTCTTCCAGTCAAAGTGTCAGGCAAGGCATGAAATGGTTGAGGATATCTGGGCTTTGGACCTTGCTTCCTGTCTTCACTTGTCGAAGCTTAGACCACATGACCACCAGGACTCTCACAAGACTCTCTTGTTCTTTTATTTGTATAGTACTAGTGTCTAGAAATACCAATAGAACTCACAGCTAAATAGGACAAACATCATACAAATGTGTTAACAAAAACTGCTAAATCTTACAATCTTAATAGACAATGATTTCCAAAGATTACAGAGTATGTCAGTGATACAGTGAGGTTGCCTGACATCTGGTCTGAACACATAACTCACTAAACCATGCTATTCTCCAAAAGTTTCTTTCGAGGCTGGACACTAGTGAGGTTTATTTACAGTGGGTAAGTTGTGCCTGAAGTACATAGAAGGAAGGTATATTCTGCTAAAGGTATCATCTATCTCTGCATGGTCTTTGTTCCTAGATCCGCTGGAAGAAGAGGGGCAGAACTCCCAGCTTCCAACCTATTTCTTTACCGTTAGGCAGAAACAGTAGTCAGGATTATAAACCAGACTCTCCCCTTTGATGGTCAGGGAGATTTTGTGTGTTCACCTGCTTAGAATGTAGTAGCTGCTTTATTTATTTATTGGCAAGGACTTTAAATAGATAAAAGTATGTCTTGCTGAAGGTTGCTGCCTAAAGGTCTCTGCCTACAAAGTGTTGAGCCATTAAGGGCTGAAGGAAACGAGCATCTGTCACAAGGATTCCTAACATCTGTGGACAGTAACGTAAAGTACAACTCAACCTAAAAGACCCAAGGCTTTTCCCTCAAAGAGGGAGGTAGTGAAATACAAATCTGTTTCCTGCAGGTACACTTGCCTTTAGTCCTTGATGTCAAATGCTCAGTTTGACACTAAGACCCACTCTTTGAGCTACAATGGAAACTATGGAACACAGGCTATTCAGAGTTTTTGGAAGGGTCCCTTTAATATTTGGCTCCCACTAGGCACTGTAGAAAGGAAAAAAGGTCACCTTCTATAGATGTTAGGCTAGAAAGGATTGTTAGGTGTGGCACTTTGAAAGGGCCCTGAAGTACAGTAGATCAAATCAGGGTGCTGACCAATAGTTACCTTTAATTGCCTTGCATCATCCCTACTCAGCCGTGCCTTGACTTAGACCCCTGATTAATGCCAGGCTTTTTCGCTTTTTGAGCAAATGGCTACCAAACATTGTTCAGCAAAGGTACACTATGGAACTGCAGTATGCAAAGATTGCATTTCTGATCTCAAGTAACTGAAGGAAATACCAGGATGTGAATAAAACTATTGGAATGGATCATTTCAGCCCACCAGGGAACTGGAAACTAACAGAGTAAGAATCTGGAAAATCTGAATATTTTTCCAGTGAAGGCTTTTGTTCAAATTCCTTCCCAAAGTATTTTCTCCATTTTGCATGTAGGTGGCATTACTTCCAACCCTGCCACAGTTCAGGTTAGTACCCTTAGATGTAACAAAGTTTTTAGGGTCTCTTCCAGGATCGTTCTGGCTTTAAAAAAGGAACTGCATTATTTATTTTTCTGACAGGGACTCTGGTGAGAGAGAGAGCTGCAACAGACAAAAATGAGGTTTCTGGAAACATTGCCACGGAAGTTGGTCAAAACCCTGTGCTGGGAATGAATGCTGCTGGGTACAAAGTGTCTCTCGCATGAATGCTAACGAGATGAAGGCTGCCATAAAGGAAATCAGTGGTGTCATAGAAACAAAAATTCAGTTCTTATTGGAGCCTGTTGGAAATGCCGATCTCACACACTGATGTACTTCAGTGAACCAAGTTCCTTACGAGACTTATCCATTAACTTCTGTTGTATCCTCCATACCTGATCCCCTTCGCACTGTCACATCTGTTGGCAGAAAGCAAGGTCCTATTTTAAATTTTCCATTCCCCCAGCCAGTTAGTGCGAGAATAAGATTTTTGAGGACCCATTCATTCACAACATAAGCAGAACAGTTTGTCATATTAGATTGCTCTGCATATTTAGAATCCTTATTTGCCATCAGGGGGTAATGGAGAAGAGCATTCACTCGGGTCCACGCAATCCAGAAATGGTTAAGAGAAAGTGAGAGAGCACACAGTATTCACCAGCTGGAGCATACTTACTCAATCAGGTCCTCTCGGGGACAATAGAATTGTGCTCGTTGTGATAGCTTGTCTGATGGAGTTTTCAGAAATAAACCAGGGAGAACCTAGTCAGCCCCATCTCAGGTTGAGATGGAGGCTGTATAAGATTTGGATAAATAATAAATAATGCATATACTTTTTTTAAAGCACTTTGGATATTCATAATAAAAGGATACTTTTACTTCCCACCCAGAAGCAGACTTCTGAAA